ATTATGTCAAAGGCAACTACACACACCCTGTTTATTGGCAAATGAAAATTAGCATCTTGCCAAAACTCAGCTTATGGTTGGTCTTTCTTTTACAGTTTTGTTATCCAGTACCAAATAATTGCTTCATCAAATTTATGACAAACTATAGAACTTGTGTCATTTTTTAAATCCTAGAATTTTTCTTTTAAACTTTTTATTTTCTTAGAAGGAATTAAATGTAGACTAATAGGCTTTTTTTAAGGAGAGAGAGGAGAGGGTGGTGATCTTTTTGTTTAATATAATATTTATTTAAAAATTCTTTTTTTAATCAGTTATTTGTTGTTTATTCAGTATTTGGGTTAGTATGACATTTGAGGAATTGGTTGCATCATTGTACATATATAGATCTTTTTATGTAATACGGAAATTTATAACTATTGATATATATCTATGTGTATATATGTGCATATGTGTATGTATACCCACACACACACACATATACAAAATCAGGTCCTCTGGAAAAGTGATACATGGGGCCATGCTGTAGAGCCCTAATGGAGGGGGGCACAAAGGTAGTCAATGCATCAACAAAATATTACTGTATGGTGTTTTGTGTGCAGGAACCAAAAGCTGTCTTCGGAACCTACAGGGACCTGTTGCACCTACAAGGCAGGTATATGTGGGGTGCTGGCTCTGTTTTATAGCAACTACTTCAAGACTGTACAAATCACATCCAGCATCACTTTGCAAACAATAGGGTTTAACAAATAGTAGTCACACTGTACTATTCCCCATTTCTAACTTTAGGAAGAGACTAGAGTGTGTTCATAGGTTTCACATTTCTGGTGTTTAATCACTAATCAGAGGAAAGATTTGACCTACTTGAAAAGCCCATCAGACATAACCCCTTAATCACTGCCGCGCTTTCTGGACAGTAAAGTGGCTGCACATGAAAAGACTTCAAAAGTGCAGCTCCTTCCGGATTTCCCAAAGAGTATCTTCTTCAAGCGGGCCTCCTCCTCCAGACTCAGGTTCACCTTCACCGCAACCGAAATGCCATTCTGCCTCAAGACACGTGGAGCACTGAGAAAGACATCATTTTACACACACACACACACATTTCCCAATTACAGGTTAAAACAACTTTTAACATATGTTATTTAAAAGTTTTGAATTTCAAATTCTATCCCTCCCTCCCTCTCTCCCTCCCCTCCTCCCTCCCCAAGATGGTAAGCAATCAGATATAAGTTATACATACGCAATCATATAAAACATTTCTATATTAACCATTCTGTTCAAGAAGACTCAAACAAAAGAAAAAATGAAAGTAAAAATAGCATGGTTCAGTCTGTATTCAAACCATATCAGTTCTTTCTCTGGAGATAGATAGCATATTTCATTGTTATTCCTTTGGGATTGTCTTGGATCATTGTGTTGCTGAGAATAGCTATGTCATTCACAATTCTTCATCAAACAATATTGTGTTACTGTGTACAACATTCTCCTGGTTCTGTTCACTTCACTTTGCATCAGTTCATGTAAGTCTTTCCAGGTTTTTCTGAAATCATCCTGTTTGTCATTTCTTATAGCACAATGATATTCCATTACATCATAATACCATAGCTTGTTTAGCCATTCCCCAATTGATGGGCATCCCTTCGATTTCCAATTCTTAGCCACCACAAAAAGGGCTATTATAAATATTTTAGAAGACATCATCACTAATGCCATATACGGATCCTTAATCATGATGGAAATTGGATGCGCTTTCCTAAGATTCTTCCTTATGCTTTCTGCCAGATCTGCGATAGACAAGCCCATTTGGCCCAGAACTATGGCCCTTTAGCTTGATCACCTCATAAGCACATTCAACCACCTGTTCATGAATGTCTTTCCAATGCTCTGCATCAGCATCAATTCCTAAAGCAGTGGAGACACGGGCAACATTCACTCTACTCCACACAAGAACGCTGGAGTATCCCCCAAAAACTTACCCATGACAACTTGAAGAATGGACACCCAGTCTCTCCCCCATTAGGTAACAGAAATGGGCAGAGTCCAGATTGCTACATCTTCCAATAACATGAGATCTCAAAATATCCACTGGATTGGAAACGATAAGCAGCTTGCAATTAGGGCTGTACTTAACAATATTTGGAATAATGAATTTAAAGATATTCACATCACACTAGACCAAATTAAGATGACTTTCTCCCTTCTGCTAATGTGCCCCAGTTGTAACAGCAACCAGCTCTGATTCTGCAGTCCCGCTATAATCTTTGACAGAGACAATCTTTGGTGTGCTGAGGAAAAGGTCGCCACACTGGAGATCCATCATCTCTCTCTTTAGTTTGTCTTCTATTATATCACCTAGGGCAAGTTCATCAGACAAATCCTTTATTAAGATATTCATGGGGGCAGCTAGGTGGTGCAGTGGATAGAGCACTGGCCCTGAAGTCAGGAGGACCTGAGTTCAAATCTGGCCTCACACACATAACACTTACTAGCTGTGTGACCCTGGGCAAATCACTTAACCCCATTACCTAGCCAAAAAAAAAAAAAATATTCATGGCACATGCCATGCCAACCACACTAATCCCAACAACAGTGATCTTGTTATGGGAAACTGGTCTTCTTTTAGGATATTCACAATCAGCTGACCCTTGTCAGCAGTTCCCATTTAGGGGAAAATCCGAGCTCAAATATTGTCAGTTGGGCTTCAGGGACTTCTCAGTTAGATGTGAGACTGCTGCCCCTGGATTTGCACTTAAACATTCTTTTTTTTTTAAATTTTGAGTTCTGAGTTTTCTCCCTCCTTCTCATCCCTCCCCTATCCATTGTGAAGGCAAGAAATGCGATACCAATTATACAACTGAAATCATGCAAAACAGATTTCCATATCAGCCATGTTGCAAAAAAGCAAGAAAAATAAAGTAAAATGTATACATATATAATATATATTTGCTTTAATCTGCACTCAGAGTTCATCAATTCTCTGTTCGGAGGTGGACAGTATTTTTCATCATGCATCCTTTGGAACTGTCTTGGATCACTCTCTTTTTTGGGGGGGCGGGGTAGGCAATGGGGTTAAGTGACTTGCCCAGGGTCACACAGCTAGTAAGTGTCAAGTGTTAGGTCTGAGTCCAGATTTGAACTCAGGTCCTCCTGAATCCAGGAGGATTCTATCCACTCTATCCACTGTGCCATCCAGCTGCCCTTGGATCCCTCTCTTGATCAGAGTAACTAAGTCTTTCATAGTTGATCATCCTTACAACATTGCTGTTACTGTGTACAGTGTTTTCCTGGTTCTGCTCACTTCACTTTGCATCAGTTCATATAAGACTTTCCAGGTTTTTCTGCAACCATCCCCTTCATCATTTCTTACAGCACAATAGTATTCCATCATAATCATACACCACAACTTGTTTAGCCATCCCCCAACTGATGGACATACTCTCAATTCTAATTCTTTACCACCACAAAAAGAGTTACTATAAATATTTTTGTACACATAGGACCTTTTCCTTTTTTTTTTTTTAATCTCTTTGGGATACAGACCTAGTAGAGGTATTGCTGGGTCAAAGGATATGTACAGTTTTACAGCCCCCTGGGCATAATCCAAATTGCTCTCCAGAACAGTTGGGTCAGTTCATAACTCCACCAACAGTGCATCAGTGTCCCAGTTTTCCCACATCCCCTGAGAAGTGGATGATCTGGAGAGAAACGGCCCCTTGAGGGCAGGGAACCCTTTCTTTGTATCCCCAGCACTTAGTACAGTGCCTGCACACAGTAGGTACTTAATAAATGCTTACTGACTGACTGGACAGAGAACTGGCCTTGAAGCCACAAAGACCCTGGTTCAAGCCCTGTGTCTGACAATTATAGGCTCTGTAACCCTGGGCGGATTACACAGCCTCTCACAGCTCCAGGAAACCGCCTAAGACTCCGAGCAGTGGAGAAGGTACTGAGCCAAGTTGGTGGTGAAAGTTCCCCATCCAGGAGTTCCCTTTAACAGTGAAATCACAGATTCAGGTCCCATCCCCAACCCTGTGACTTTATCCGTGACAGAAAACATCCTCCTGTGAAAACGCCCTCCACCAAGCCGTACAGATAAGCACTTTATCTCATTGTATCCTGGGAGGTTAGTGTTATTATTATCCTCATTTTACAGATGAGGAAATTGAGGCAGACAGAGATGAAGGGACTTGCCCAGGATCCCACAGCTAGTACGTGTTGAGGCAGGATTTGAATCCGAGCCGTCCTGACGCCGGGTCCGTGCCTCTGTCCACTATGACACCACCACTCAGCTGCCTATTCTTCACCTTAAAGTCTTCCAGGATGACCTGATCTGCCTGCAGTCACTCAGCCAGCACGAAGCCTTCCAGGCTTCAAGGCCGTGCTGCCTCTCTGGGCTAAAGCCATTACCAAAATACACGACCTCTCATACTTAAGCCTCTGATGTGGAGGCTGTAACTGCCAGATTCACTTCTTCCACTTTCTGGATCTCAGGATCACACAGAATCAGAGATCCAGAGCTGGAAGGGACCTCAAGGTCATTCAGTCCAACCCTTTCATCTTACAGATGTGGAAACTGAGGCCCAGGGAGGTAAAGTCACATGTTCATTCGCTGGGAATTTATTAAACGTCTCCTTCTCGTACAACACTGTAAGAGGTGCTTTGAGGGATATAAAATCTAAAAATAAACAAAAAAGGAGAGAGGCAAACTGACAAATAAATAAAGGCGGGAGGCAGACCCCTGCTCTGAAGGAGCTGCCAATCTTCTTGGAGAGACTGAAGTGACAAATGAGGGGGAAGGTTAGGAAACGCATCCAGGTGAATGATGATGACCCTGGAGAGCCGGGGAAAGGCACCGTCAAGGAGGCTCGGTGGAGGTGCTGAGCCCCGAGCCAGGTTCTGAAGGAAGGAACTGAGAAGATGGCCCTTCTATTCCAGACCCGAGTGCGGCCACGCTGCCTAAAGCGAACCAAAAGACACACCTGAAAGATTTCGCTCTATGTTACCTGAGGACAGATTCCAGAGAGCTGCCAGATTCCTGTTTGCCCATCTCATTTTGAGGATCCCTCATCACAAATTTTCCCAAAGCGTCAAATGCTTGTTTCGATTCTTTAGACAACACAAACACCTTCCGGCACTTTACAGTAAAAGCTTCATGATAAGAACGTTCAAAGTTGTACTCGTGGTCTGGAGAGACAAAAAAAAAGGTATCTGTTAGTAGCTGGCATGGAAAGGTTCGGTCATCAGCTGTGCACAGCTCATATCGGCTTCCCCACAGGGGCCCTTTCCCCTCCTCTGAGTCGAACTTACACTGGCAACTCTACGGGACGGATTGTTCCAGCCTCAATGGAGACTGAACGAACAACTGGACCTTTCTTAATTCCCTCGGTGCGTGCCTGTGTGGTATCTAAATTTTTCCACGACCTCAAATCAAAAAGGACAAAAAGCTGACCTTGCTGTGTTCTCTCACCATCTCAAATAAAAGATTTTGAAGCAACCAAAATGAATTTCTAAAGGAAATACAAGCAATGCATAAAACCTAAATGAAGGGAGATTTAAATAAAAATTAAAAGTTTGGAAAACAAAAGGACAAAATGCTACTTCTCATTACTTATGCTGGTGAGGCTGTATGGTAGGGTCACTCTATGACGCTCGACAAGGTCCTTCTCCTCTCTGGACATCAGTTTCCTCATGTGTGAAATTAAAAAGCTGGACTAGGTGGTTTTTAAGGTTGCTTTTAGCTCTGAAATTCTGTGATGCCAAATTCAGTTTAAAAGGACTCAACATGCATTCATTTAGGAGTCACCTACATTCCCCTGTTTTTGGTTATCTGTCTTTTTGTTCGTAGTACAAAATAACGGACGTCGTGGCACAGGGATAGAGAGCTGCCTCGGAGTCAGGAAGACCTGGGTTCAGGTTCTGCTGCTAAACACTCAGGAGCTCTCTCAATACAACACCGACTGCAACCCGCCTCTGACTTAGGAGATGGGTCCTAGGTAGCGGCCCAAGTCACATGAGGCGTCACACACTTATAGTGAGGGTAGGCTTTCCATATCCTCACATTCCTACAACCCTTCAAGGTCTACATGACAACCTTAAAAAATAGGTAATGTTAAGTATAAGGAGACTTGGGATTTCCTTGGTCCAGGATGAGAAGAGTCCCTCTCTCAATGCAGCCCATCTCCTTCTCTGTAATCTACAGCCTTGAGCAGTGGTCAAGCTCAAACAGAAAGTGGGCCAGGATACTGACTTAGAAAACCACATATTAACATTATCTATGTCCTGTTGTATTTTCATTCATTTTGTTAAATATTTCCCAATTAAATGCTATTGCCTGAGGTAACATAGGCAGTATATGTCAAAGGTGGGGCTCAAACCCACATCTCCCTGCCTCACTCTCCATCCACTAGGCCACTTTGCCTCTCAGTACAAGATCGTTATTACCATTTGACAAAAGAAGATATTGAGGCTCTGAGAGATTCAATAATTGGTCATGCAGCTAGTAAGTCTTAGGTGGGATCCAAATCCCGGGTCTTCCTAACTCCAAGTTCAGGATACTATCTACTATACCACACTTCCTCAAGATTCTAATCCCTGCTCCTCCTCACTACTAAGCCCCAGCCTCAGGCCTTGGGTACCACTGTCAGTGGTTCATGGGACTCAGACTTCATTTACCATCAAAATGATGCTACACATGGTGGTTGGGTTCTAGAGTCCAAGGAGAACAGCACAATACTTCCGGCACATCCTATTTTAAACTGGCTATTGTGGGCTTGCCTGGCAATCTTGCCCCACACTTCTCCCCAACAACAAAACTGTTTCTCTGGGAAAAAAAATTCTGAGATCCAAACAACTGACTTATAAACAGACTACTGAAATTGAGATGGCTCACTTGCACACTCTTCAAGAATGCACTAATTAGAAACAGGCTAATCCTTTCTTGATTGAGTCCAGCCCCTGCCACAATCAAATCTTTCTATGTATATGAGTCAGGATAATATCAGAGAGTCGCCTCTCAAAGGACAAGAGGTTTGTTCGTGATTCTTGCCCTAATTTACACAGTGCCTGCTACAGAGTGTGTGCTTAATAAGTGTTCATTGACTGACTGATTGACTTGGATCACTGCTGCAAATCAGCATGCCCTCTTTCTCCCTTCTGTTTCCCCAGAACCAGTTCATTTATCATTTTTGGCAAGAGCTCATTTTGATAAGACAGGGATCCACCTGTCATCAGAATACTCTAACAACTACTTACCTTTAAACGCTATATGATGCTCGGATTTTAAAAGCCTACTCAAAGACAAAGGATGGATGTTATGATGACCCTCAGCTCCAGCCCTGATTTTGTACTAACCTACATTTTCTGGCAGAACGGAAGCAGGGTAAAGCTTTTCTATCACAGCTGACCAGTCTTTGAAAACCAATTGGCCTAGCTCATGGAGATCTCTGTAAAACCTGACCGGCAGCCCTTTGCTAATGATCTTGGCTTTGAGCTCGCCGATCCGCCGTTTCTCATAATCCTTCTGCCGGGATTGCGGACAGGTAATCTTTCCCTTTTCCTGTTCTAATGCTTTCAGTAGCATGGCACCAGTCCAAAAATAGTAATACTGAAACTGGGAATCCTTCATAAAGGCTGCCTGGATCACTTCCAGCTCTGTGAGGCTGCAGGTGAAATTCTCCAGGACCCAAGGGTAGCCGTTGTGGGCTGCAACATATAGGTTCTTTTCCACCTTGGAGAGCCCTGGCAGGTCGGGGGAGCCAGTGGGCAAGAAATTTGTATCCTCACGGAGGAATTCTCCATAGGTCTGGCCCAGCATGCAAAGGAAAAAAGGGAATGAGCTGTTGATGTAATCAAGGCAAAGCTTCAGCTGCTGGGACTGCAGGCTGCAGTAATGCCTACGAAAGGTAGGGCAGAGAGGGTCATGAGCTTCAGATGCTGGCCACCTCAGGTCAATAGCCTTGAAATACGTCCCCCGGGAAATGCAGAGTTCATTAAGCTGGGGGAAGATGTTGTTTGCCAAAAAATCTCTTTCTTCTTGGAAATCCTTTATCGTGGAACACACATAAAGCCGGATGGGGGGCTGAGGCTTTGAGACAGACTGAGGATTCTTCTCCATTATTTCAATTGGCTTCTGAAATATTTCATGGGGCTCAAGAATTCACACAGTTGGACTCAGAGGAAATGCAAGGTGACTTGGCTCTTAGCCGTCAATGCTTCTGAGACATCCCCCAATAACATTTGGCACCAGCAAAGTTAAACTTCTTTTCCAATGTAGTTCATTTCTTGCTTAGCAACTTACAATCAATAGAGAGGTCAGAGTTGAAACAACCTAATGGAAGTAAGAAACAAACAAAAAATACATTCATTTTAAAGGATACCAGGAATGTATGTCTTCTTTCTGTTCTTAGGAAAGACTTGGCTGAGGCAAGAAAATAATGAATGTATAAGTACTCATTCCATCTATCAAATAACCTGTTTTACAGGCAGTTTTCAGATGAACAAACTAAAGCCATCGACAGTCATATGAAAAAATGCTCTGAGAATCACTATTGATTAGAGAAATGCAGATCAAAACGACTCTGAGGTCACACCTATCAGACTGGCTAACATGGCAAAACAGGAAAACGATAAATGTTGCAGAAGATATGGGAAAATTGGAACACTAAAGCATTGTTGGTAGAGTTGTGAACTGATCCAACCATTCTGGACAGCAATTTGGAACTATGCCCAAGGGGCAATCAAACTGTGCATACCCTTTGACCCAGCAATACCACTTCTAGGTCTGTATCCCAAAGAGATCATAAAAATGGGAAAAGGACCCACATGTACAAAAATATTTATAGCAGCTCTTTTTTATGGTGGCCAAGGAGTGGAAATTGAGGGGATGCCCATTAATTGGGGAATGGCTGAACAATTTGTGGTATACGAATGTAATGGAATACTATTGTGCTATAAGAAATGATGAGCAAGCAGACTTCAGAAAAACCTGGAAAGACTTATACGAATTGATGCTGAATGAAAAGAGCAGTACAAGAAGAACACTGTACACAATAACACCACACTGTGTGATGACTGACTTTGATAGACTTAGCTCATCTCAGCAATGCAAAGATCTAAGACAACTCCAAAAGACTCACAATGGAAAAGGCTATCCACATCAGAGAAAGAATTATGGAATCTGAATGCAGATCAAAGCATACTATTTGCTCTCCTTTTCTTTTGTTGTTTTGTTTTGTTTCTTCTTTCTCATGATTCCTCCCATTAGTTCTAATTCTTCTTTATGTCACAACTAATGTGAAAATACACTTAACATGAACATATAAGTAGAGCTTATATCAGATTGCATGCCATCTTGGGGAGGGGAAAGGAGAAGGAGGGGGAGAAAATTTAAAAGTCAAAATCACATGGAAGTGAATGTTGAAAACTAAAACTAAATTAATTATTTTTAAAAAAGTAACCTGTTTTATTCATGCCATCCATTACACCTTATATCAATTCCTTCAGCCCACAGCAAAAACATGTAAAAATGAAAACTGCTCAGAGAGCAGGCCAAAAGGGAAGCTGGTCAGCTACATCCAGAGAAGACAGAGCTGAAACTAGCAACTTTCACACCCAAGACAAGGAGAATAACTGTGGTCTCTCAATGGAGATAAATGTAGGGATGAAGTAAAAATTATGGCCATGAAAGAGATCTGGAGGAAAGGGGAGAAAATGGAGGACTGAAGCAAAAGTTGAGGTGGAGAACACACCTTGTGCCTGAGAAGAGTTGGTCAGACCATTGTAAAGTCATGCAGCTTCCCAGCTAAGCTCCTGAAGGGCGTGTGACACCCACAGACAAAGGACATCAGAGTCTACACTGCTCTAAGACAAGGTGACTGGTTTATGGTATTTTCCCCTGTGCTCCCCATTACTACATTTCAAATCAATCAGTCCACAAGCATTTATTGTTTCCTGTGTGCTAGGAACTGGGCTCAGCCGCTAAAGATACAAAGAAAGGTAAAAAATATGGTCCCTGCCCTCAGGGAGCTCCCATTCTAATGGGAACATGCAAGATATGTACAGAGTAGATGGAAAGTAATTTTGACAGGGTAAGGCAGTAGAAACTGGGGTATCTGGGAAAGTCCTAAAAACGGTAGGGATTAAGATGAGTTTTAAAGGAAACCAGGAAACCAAGAGGCAGGACATTCCAAGAACTGGGGACCAGCCAATAAACTGCAGAGAGATGGGAGATGGCTTGTCATGGGTGAAGAGCAACACAGGCCAGCACAGCTGGACCACAGAGGAAGCGTAAAAAGACTAGAAGGTGGTAGGAGAACAAGGATTCTCTCTGGCCTCACTATCCCAGAGTCAGGCAGCCATATCTCCCCCTCGGTGTCCTGAGGGAGTGACTCTTCTGTCTACCATTACGAGCTTGAGTCCCCATTCTGAATGTGTTTCCCCACATACACTGTTAGCCACTAGTGTTCGGGCCCCCAGTTCTATTCGACCAATCTGCATCACAATTAACTTTTACAAAGGGATATCTATTTAAAAGATGTAGCAGGAATAGGAGTACAAACATTTCCCTTCCTGCACTTCAGGGGTGTGCTGTCAACTCTACCATCTCAGTTTCTGGAGACACAGTCTCTATATAACATTAGTGGCACCAAGTTCACATCCAAATGGGGCATCACTGCCAGATGAATCCTCATCTCAGGTACTGCAGGGCTAGCCCTGGAAAGTTAACTCCTCTTAGCAGAACTGGCTGTAGGACTGACCATGGACTTGACTCCCACTTTTCCAGAGGGCTCATTCTCCTGACCTTTTACAAGTCACAAGGTCATAACCTGCAGATTAGTCTCCTTTATATTAAGAGAAAAACAGAGAATAAATGACAATGCAAAGTACCAAGGCCCGTTTTCACAGGGTAACATGTTGGCATAGATGGGAAAAGGCCTGAGACTCCTCCCCCTGGAGCCCTATCCTTCACTGGACACTGTCTGGTAGGAATAAGTCAGCCAAAGAAATTAGATGCACAGAGAATGAGGCCGGGCTGACTTACACCTTTCTGAAAGCGCCCCTAGCTCCATGTCTGCAACTGCAGCCCACCGAGACTGCCTTCCACCCTGGTTAGCAGGCCAGATCCAGTGACAGAACGTGGAAGCCTGCTCCAAAGCTTCTCTGAGCACTCCCCCCCCACACACACATCGTCATGACTCTCAGATCAGGGCTCCCTGACCTCTTCCACATCGGGAACAGCATCCACTCCATCAGAGGCATGAGCCAGGGACCATACTGTGAGAGCTTCAAATGCCAAGCAGAAGGCTTTCTATTTGACCCTGGACGTAATTCGGAGCTGGGGGTTAATAATACTGAGAGAAAGGCAGCATATCTATATTGACCTATATATGGTACATACTGTAATATTTAGGGAACTTATTACCCAATTCAACTTGACAGCCGTGTTCCATGGATCCAGAAGCCAAACAACCACAATCTGGAACTACGCTACGAACCCAGAAGCAAACTGGAAAAAACAAAACAAAGCAAAACCCAAACTCAACAAGCCAGGAGTGTACTGGAGCTGGCTAAAACTGGCTTCCAAAAGCCAATTGTTAAATTTTGTGGGAAAATGTATCCCTCAGAAATGGCAAACACTACCAATGAGGGATCAGTTGAGTGTTTTGTTAATTGCCTAGATTTAACAAAGTGATGGAGAAAATATAACGCAGAGTTGACTTGAAAGTGCATTGTAGGTACATTTTTTAATAAAAGAGCCAGTTGTTAAACATATATACCAGCACACTGCTGGGTCAGACAAAGAGAAGTTTCCCACACAGAGCTTTTTGTCCTGGAGGCGGCTACAAATGCAAACAGCAAGCTGTGCCAGGAATGGTAGTGGTTGTTTTTTTTTTAAGCATCTGAGGCTAACTTCATTGAAAGGGAGTCTTTAAAGCAGGAATTCCTCCCTCTCGTATAAGTATTTTAGCACCTAGTTAGAATTAAGATCCATAATGTTTTATTTAGACCTCAGTGGGACACAGCAGCTTCAACATTTATCATCATTATGTAACTGAAGACTAGAGGAGATCCTCCCCACTGGCTGGTCAGAACCTTCCCCCAAGCCCTCCTCCCCTCTCAGGAACATAGGGAAAGAATCTGGTGCTTTCAAATGTATGTATTCAAAAGTTAGGTGTAAGCTCTGGCCTAGTTCTTTTGGGAGGACCCTTTGAGCACTCAGGTGGTTACATTAAAAATAGGGAGTATATTGTTGATGCCCAGACTTTCTGGGCAGCAATTTGGAATTAGGAAAGAAAAGTGTCCATGCCCTTTGACCCAGCCATTCCAATAGTGGACAAAAACCCTCAAAAAAGTCGAAGATAAAAACTAAGGTCCAATATACACCAAAATATTCATAGCAGTATTCTTTCCGCTAGCAAAGAACTAGAAACCAAGTGGGTACACATTGATTAGGGAATGAATGAAAAACTATAATATATAAATGTGTAATACAGGTATGTAAGGCAGTATGGCACAGTAGGTAGAAGACATACTTTGGAGTCAGGAAGACTTAAGTTAGAGACCTACAGCATATACGAGCTGTGGGACCACAAACAAGTAAGTCCCTTAAGCTCTCAGACACCTAAACTACTTGATAAAACCATAAGGTGTCTAACAAAACTCTTATCTGAGGGCAAGGCCAAGATGGTGGATTAGAGACAGCAACCTGGCTGGACTCTCCCTACCTTCCCCTCCAAACAACTTTAAAATAACACGTCAAATCAAATTTTGGAGCAGCAGAGCCGGCAAAAGGTGAGGGTGGGATATTTTTCCAGCCTCAGACAGCTTAGGAGATTGGCAGAAGAGGTCTGTAAACCTGGGGTGGGCACAGGCCCAGAGCACAGTGAGAACACCAGCACTGGGCCTTGAGGCCACTTCGGGAGCTCTCAGTCCAGAGATGGGAAGGGGGCTGGGACCCTCTGCTGTCACTGGGTGCAGCTGGCGCTGACTGGCCGCTCTAAGGCCCACACGTAGTTCTGGGCCCCAGTTCCCGGGCACAGAAGAGCACTTCTGGTCTTTCACTAGGGAGCAGGGGCCCTGGTCACAGTTCTAAGGTGAAGAGGACCATTCGTACTTTCAGTGGCAGAGTTACCCTAGTGAACCTGGTCACAATTCCAGGGCCAAGAGGAGTGCTAGAGATTGAGGCTACAGAGGACCAGGGGACCTTCCTGGGTAAAGACCCACAGCACAGACCAGGAAGATAATGACCACAAATGAGCACACCTCTCCCAGGATCACAACACCTTGGAAACAGCAAAAACTTGCAGACCCAGAACGAGCGCTGAAAACAGAAGCACAAAACAGCCCGAAGCTTGGGACAGTACCTCCCCACCCCAGGTGAGCAGAGCCCAACTTTAATATGAAATTCAAAGTCAAGAAATAGGCTGGGAAAATGAGCAAATAACAACAAAAAAAGAACCTGACCATAAAAATGTGCCGTGGTAGCAGGGAAAACCAAGACACATGCTCAGAAGAAGACAAGAAGGCAAAAACAGCTACAATTAAACCCTCAAAGAAAAATGCTAATGGGAGACAAACCCAGCAAGAAATTCCTGGAAGCATTAAAGAAAGAAATAAAGAGTGGTAGAGGAAAAATTGCAAAAAGAAATTAGAGTGACGCAAGAAAATTATAAGAAGATAATTAACAACTTGGTAAAAAGAGGCACAAATATTGCTGAAGAAAATAACACCTTAAAAAATAGAATTGATCTAATGGTAAGAGAGGCACAAAAATTCACTGAAGAAAAAAACTGCTTCAGCAATTTGGAACTGTGCCCAAAAGGCTATAAAACTGTGCATACCCTTTGACCCAGCAATACCACTCTAGGGCTATATCCCAAAGAGATCATAAAAACGGGAAAAGGACCCACATGTACAAAAATATTTATAGCAGCTCTTTTTTATGGTGGCCAAGGATTGAAAATTGAGGGGATGCCCATTAATTGGGGAATGGCTGAACAATTTGTGGTATATGAATGTAATGGAATACTATTGTGCTATAAGAAATGATGAGCAAGCAGACTTCAGAAAAACCTGGAAAGACTTATACGAATTGATGCTGAATGAAAAGAGCAGAACCAGAAGAACACTGTACACAATAACAGCCACACTGTGTGATGACTGACTTTGATAGACTTAGCTCATCTCAGCAATGCAAGGATCTAAGACAACTCCAAAAGACTCACAGTAGAAAAAGCTATCCAAGGGGCAGCTAGGTGGCTCAGTGGATAGAGCACCAGCCCTGAAGGCAGGAGGACCTGAGTTCGAATCCAGCCTCAGACACATAACACTCACTAGCTGTGTGACTCTGGGCAAGTCACTTAACCCCAACTGCCTCACCAAAAAATAAGTAAATAAACAGAAGAAAACCAAATTACCAAAAAAAAAAACAAAAAACAAAAAACAAAAAAAAAACTATTTATATCCAGAGAAAGAACTATGGAATCTGAATACAGATGGAAGAACACTATTTGCTCTTCTTTTCTTTTGTTGTTTTGATTCTTCTTTCTTGTGGTTCCTCCTATTGGTTCTAATTCTTCTTTACATCATGACTAATGTGAAAATATGCTTAATATGAATGTATAAGTAGAGCCTAGAGGTTCATATAACTCCTAAGAACTTTATCATTGTTAGGACAGCTAAAAGGAGTTTACATAGACAGAGGGTATGAGTATGAGATGATTTTGTCAGAATGATCTAAACAAATGAAGGGGTAAGAAAGAAGGATGCAGTGGGAGAAGGGAGAAGGGAGAGGTAGAAGGGGGAAATTTTTCTCACATAGAAGAGGTATACAAAGAAGAGCTTTTACAATGGAGGGGAAAATGGGGGTATGGCAGACAATGCTTGAACCTCACTCTCATCACAATGGCTCAAAGAGGAAAAAAAAACATATATATATAGATATGTATATATGTATATAGACACACATACTCTGTTATGTATAGAAATTTTTCTTACCCAATAGGGAAATAGGAGGAGAAGGGGATTAGAGAAGGGGGGTGGGGTGAGGAGATAAAAGGGAGGGCAGATTAAGGGAGGTAATGATTAGAAGCAAAATAGACTTTTGAGGATGGACAGGATAAAAAGATAGAGAAGAATAAACAGAAGAAAATGGGATGGAGAGAAATACACAGTTAGTATCCATAACAATAAATGTGAATGGAATGAGTTCACTCATGAAACAGAAGCAGATAGCAGAATAGATTAGAAACCAGAGACATGCTTGTTAAATGGTCAAAAGATATGAACAGGCAGTTTTCAGAAGCAGAAATCAAAGCTATCTACAATCATGAGGAAAAATTTTCTAAATCACTATTGATTAGAAAAATGCAAATTAAAACAACTGTGAAGCACCACCCCACACCTATCAGAAATGACAAATGCTGGAGAAGAAGAGGGAAAACAGTACACTAATTCAATGTTAGCGGAGTAGTGAATTGGTCCAACTACTGTGGTGAGCAATTTGCAACTATGCCCATAGGGCTATAAAACTGTGCGCACCCTTCGACCCAACAATACCACTGCTAGGTCTGTATCCCAAAGAGATCAAAAACAGAGCACAAAAATATTTACAGCAGCTCTTTTTGTGGAGGCAAAGAATGGGAAATGGAGAGGATGACCATCAACTGGGGAATGGCTGAACAAATTGTGGCATATGATTGTGATAGAGCAATGTGGTGCTATAAGAAATGATGAAGGCGTGGGGTTTCAGAAAAATGTGACAAGATCTACATGAACTGATGCAAAGTGAAGTGAGAAGAACTGGGAAATCATTGTGCACAGTAATAGCGATGCTGTAATGATGATCAATTGTGAAAGATCTGGCTATACTGACCAATACAATGATCCAAGATAATTCCAAAGGATTTGTGATGAAAAAATGCTATCTACCTCCAGAGAGAGAATTGATGAATTCTGAGTGCAAAGTGAAGTATAATTTTCTGACCTTTTTTGCTTCTTTTTGCAATATGGCTAATATGGAAATATGTTTTGCATAATTTCACATAGAGGGGTGAGAGGGAGGAAGAGAATCTGGAACTCAAAATTTCCAAAGAAAAGAATATCAAAAATAAATATTTTTTTAAAAGACTCTATTGTTAAAGGTTACTGTCCCACTTGGAGTTGCCCATAGAATTCTAACTAGCAACTTTCAGCAGCAGTGAAATGACAAGTGTAACACTGGACCTTCTGCAAAGAAATGTTTACTTTGGAAGACTATATTTTCATAAACATACACATGTGTTCCCCCAACACGCAGGAGCATAATCCCCACTCTCAAACCACTTCATTCTCTTAGGAGGGGTAGGGGTTTCCGTTCATAGCTTAGCTAGATCCCTATAAAGCACAATCTCAGCTCCAAGTCCAGAATCCCCTTGGGCTTAAGTCCCCACACCCTTGCTTTTCAGGGCTGCAATATCGTCCTGGCTCCAACTCCCAGTACCATGAGGATGACCTCCAGCACCTGAAACAACACAGGCCCATTTCTCAGGGAGGGTAAAAGACAAGGATGATTCAGTTCATGGCATCCAAAAAGAGCAGAAACAAAGGCAGGAAAGAGACTAAAGATCTCACCAGTTTTAAAGACAAAAGGCAGTCAATCCAAGAAGGCTGCCCCGCTCACAGCAGGAGGGCATACAGTCCATTCCACCCCAGGTAAACTGAGCATGCCTAGACCAGCCCAAGGTAACACAGCTGAAACAAAAACAAAAATAACTTACGTAAGGGAAAAATATCATCAGTCCCACAGTATCATGGCTAGAAGTTGAGGACACAAACAAACAGACAGTGCCCTCAAGGAGGTCCAACATCTACTAAAATAAAATACAAAGTAAATACAATTTGGGGGGCAGGGAGGCGGATCAGCTGAGGGATCGGAGAAGATCTCCCATCTGAAGCCTTTGAGCTAAACTTCACTGGAAGGTTAAGGCTCCAAGAGGCCACTGTGGAAGGGAGGGCATGGTAGGCACGGGAGACAGACACAAGGGAGAAAAGCACAGATAGTCATGATGGAATGTTGCACCTAAGGAACAGCAAGGCAGCCAGAGGGGCTGGACCCCAGAAGGTATAAAGGAGAGTAGTGTTTGTACCAAGTCAGGAAAAGTAGGCCAGAACCCGACTGTGAAGGGCTTTAAATGCCAAGTGGAGGAGTTGAGATCTTCTCTTAGAGAAAATGGGGAGCCACTGGGGATTCCTGAGCAGGGGAGTGACCTTGTCAAACCTGTGCTTTAGGGATATCACTTTATCAGCTATGTGGAGAAAGGACTGGAGAAGAAAGAGAACTGAGGCCGGGAGTCCAGTTCGGAAGTTCTTGTGGTATAATCCATAAGAGGTGATTGGGAGGGTGGTGACTGTGTGAACAGAAAGAAGGCTGTGGTGGTGGGAGCATGGACAAAGCTTGGTAACTGACTGGATACAGGGGAAGGAGGAGTGCCGCAGCAGGGAAGACGGAACCTGACTCAGAGATTGGAAAACAGAAACAGGAAAATTAGGAAGAGAGGTGGGTTTGGAAAGAAAGATATGAAAAAATAAATGTTTTCAACGTGCTGAGATGCCTTGGTTGACTGCTGTCCTTCACTCTCAAAGGGGACCAGAATGACATCACGATGCCAGAGTCAAGGTACAGAGTGTCCGACCGTGGTTGACCAGACCAATACGAGCTCAGGATTCTCTGCCACAGTCCGGCACAAACAGTCCACGGGGCCATTTGGGGTGGATTCTCTAAATTTGGGCATCTCGCGTCTCTTTGGAGATGCCTACAGAACCTCTAGACGCAGGACTGGTGCTCAGGTGGGAGTCTGGAGCTAGGTGTATGGATTTAGGTATCATCTTCTAGAGACAGGCCTTGAACCCCACAGGAAAGGAGGAGATTCGAGGTGACAAGCAGAACTGTAGGCCGGAGCAAGGAAAAGTGTGGCTTCATCAAAGACATCTAAGTAAATGAATGAGAAGAGAGCAGGGGATGACCTCAAAGGGCTCTGTGATGTAGAGCAAGGGAGGCAAGGGACTCACATGAAATGGTCTCTATTTCCTCAATTTAAAAAAAAATCATCTGGAAGAATAAAAAGTCAAGAACATTAAGGCAATTAATGAAAAGAAAATGTGAAGGAAGGGTGGCCCTAGCCACACCAGATCTCAAACTATATTATAAACTGGTAATCATCAAAATAATCTGGGTCTGGCTAAGAAACAGAGTGGTGGCTAAGTGGGATAGATTAGGTACACAAGACACAGTAAATGACCCCTGTAATCCATTGTTTGATAATCCCAAAGACCCCAGCTTTTGGGATAGAAGTCACTACCTGACAAAAACTTAAGGGAATACGATTTCCTCAGTAAAGTATTAGGAGGGCAGGTTCTCTGTTGAGAGAGAAACAAGGCCAAGTGGGGCGAGAAGTTTAAAGAGACTAGCTGTGTGACCCTGTGCAAATCATTTAAGCCCATTGCCTAGTAAAAAACAAACAAACAAAAAAAGAAGTTAAAGAGAGATGAAGTTTTGGAATAGCTGCAGTGGGAGAATACAATTAGGGAAGACTAAAAGGGTGCCTTGACATTAGGACATGATGAGATTGGATAACATAAATCTGCAGTGGACACAGCGAGCTCACCTGCCTGACTTTCTCTAGCCTTGGAGGAGAGGAGGTCAGCGATGGGGATGATCGGAGGTTTGGAGTTTGCCACAGCACAAGCCAGGCAGGACGAGGGTACAAGGACTCAAGGACAGGATTGTGCAGTAAGGAATGACAAATATGAGGAATTCAGAGAATCAGAAAATTTCTATGAAATGCAGAAGAGCAAAACAAAGAGCACCATGAGAACAATATATACAATGGTAACAATGCAAAAGAAAAGATCTGGGAAAAAAGAAAGAACAGCAACAACATCCAAAAACCAAGGAAGGTCCCAGACAAGATATAAGGAAGCATCACTGCCTCCTCCCAGAAAAAAGATGGGAGCCCACTAGGACAGACGGCTGTGCTCTTTGTCGGATGTGGTCACTGGACTGGATGTTTCTCTTCGTTGTTTTTTCTTTGTCGCAAGAAAAGGCTAACTCTATAATGGGGAAGGAAGCTTTTTTTGTTGTTGTGGTTTGTTTTGGTCAGTTTTTCTCCTAAGAAATGAGTCTGATATAAAGACAAAGGTCATTTATCAAGCATATCTTTTTAAAATGATAAAAGTAGATCAGGATTTGCAGTCGAGAAAATGTGGGGCTGACCACTGTTATCTGTGGGATCATGGACAAATCACTTAAACTCATTCTGTCTCATTTTCTCCAGCTATAAAATAGTCAGCATTTACTAAGCACTTACTATATGCTGGGCAGCGTATTAGAGCCGGAGGAACAAAGAAAGGTTGAAAAGAGGGATAATAACACCTAGAACACTTGCCTCACAAAGTTGACATGAGGCTCAAACGTGATCAGAAAAATATAGTTATTTGCAAAACTCAAAATGCTACAGCTATTATTACTTCAATCAATCAACAAACTTTTATTAAGGGCTGACTAGGTGCCAGGCACTGTGCATTTTTAAAAGCCGATCCCAGGCCCTTGTAGTGATCACAGAAGGGGCCGTATGCCATACTGAAAAAGGGAACTGGTCAGAAAGCCAGGAGACATGGGTATTAGTACTAACTTACTGCCAATGCAGTCATGACCTCTGAACTCTTCTCTTCTGTGCAATAAGGTTGGACTGGATAAAATCCTATGATTTTATGATATGAATAACTCAAACTTAGCTGATTTTTTACCTAAAACAACCCTAGTTCTTTGTCACATTAAAAATGCTAGAGAGGGACAGCTAGGTGGCGCAGTGGATAGAGCCCCGGCTCTGGAGTCAGGAGGACCTGAGTTCAAATCCGATCTCAGACCAGACACTTGACACTAGCTGTGCGACCTGGGCAAGTCACTTAACCCCCAATTGACTCACAAAAAAAAAAAAAGTGCTAGAGAAATTACCTAAAGTAGGCTTTGTGCTTTATAAGGTGATAGAAAGCCTGGAATTCAGATCAGGCATATACATGAATTATGAATTCTAATTATGCCTAATTGTCTCATCTTACAGTCTGTTTAGGTGAGGGAGAGAAAAAGGAAAGGATTTTGGATTTCACTTCCTTCTGAAAGAGGAAGGACAAATGGAGAGAGCACTGAGCCAGGGAATGAAAATTGGGCCTTGTTATTTGCTTGCTTCCACTCCTGGAAGGAGAGAGAGTAGGAAAAAGGGAAGAAAGGGAAGGTTTGGTCTCTGGACCTTAGGATGAGGCAATGAGGCATAACTCGGACGCATCCAGAAATCATTTACATCCCTGATCTGAATTCTGGACTGGACACTGCCATATTACATACAAGGGTCATCTGAGGTCAATTCTCCAAGGGGATATTACATTTTTAATGTGGAAAAGAACTAGAATTGTTGTATGTAATAAAATCAGCTAAGATTCACAGGTTACTGTGCCTTTAAGACCACAATTAACTGTTAAAACTTGGCAAATGTTCATTTTCCCTATCTGTTATTTTCTCTCCCTCTATCTTTCCCCATAGCTTTAATTGTAAATTTCTTAAAATAACTTTAAAAGGGTTTGTGTGTGATTTTCAGGGAATAAGAAAGGCAATGTGGAATAATGAAAATGAGATAATTGGGGCCAAAGGACCTGGATTCAAATCCCAGCTCAGCTACTTATTACTAGCATGACCTTCAGCAAGTCCGTAAAAAGAGTGTTAGACTAGATGACTTTTAAATGTTTCTTCCAACTCTCCATGTGTGATGTTGTAAGAACAGAGGAAAGAAAGGCCTCTGTCTTCTTCCTATGCAAAACTAGGATGTCTGAGAGTCAGGTTAGTGGCAAAGGTGGTAGAGGGAGGAGCCAAGATGGGATGCAGGTGAGCCCCGGCCTGAGGCTCATTGTTGGAAGAAAAGTTGGGGTCATACGGTGCTAGAGAGCTGCAGTACTGCCTCGAGATTTTGCAGACCTGTACTCGTATGAGAGCTCCCTCTATTTGCAAGGAAGTCTACTTCCCCATTCTACCTGATCATCTTAACAACTACAATATCTGGGTTTTTTTAAAATATTTTTACAGATTTATTCAGTGATTTGTACTTCCTTCTTTTTCTTCTTTTCTCTTATACCTTCCAATTTCACTTTCTTGACTGACACTGGGCTTTCTGTTTTTGTTGGGTTATCACTATCCTCAATCCAACCAAATTTCTTGGATTGTTGCTGTTTTCCTGCTGAATCATCAGATTGGGGGGGGGGGGGGTAGTTTTGACCTTTTATCTTCTCTGTTTATAGAAGGCCCTTCGGCTTTAGGAGGCTGTACTTTGGCACCCACAACTCTGTCCAGCCTCACCCCAAGGCATGTGACTCTGGCTTCAGTATTTACTTCCTCTAGTAAAGATGGGGGAATCTTCTTATCTGGACTACACCTCCACATTCTGATGAAACAGTCCCTGATAGGATGCTCTGGTGTTTCAGAGCTGCATGTCTTTTAATTGCTTTTCAGGAGCCTTAAATGCATAGACATTTTATCGAATCACAGTCAAACAACTACTTCATCTCCAGCCACAGCAAGTGTGGAACCTGAAATGAAGGTAACAGACGAAATTCTCTTCCCAGTGGCGATGGTACCACTAACGGATGCAGTTCCGAGTTGAAAGATGTCTATCTTGTTTATTATGATAACTATATACTTCTCACTA